CCCCCCAAAACCCCTCCGAGACCCCCGGACCCACCGTCCCCCAGGAGCTGGAGCAGGGCCAGGTCCACGGGGCGCTTCCAGCGGGATCCCCTCTGCAGGGCGATGCCGTAGCCGGTGGAGGCGAAGACCTTCCCCGAGCCGATGGTGACCAGCTTGCAGCCTTCCTCCTTGCGGGCCATGTAGTTCAGCACGGCCGCGTCGTAGATGAAGGCGTCCAGCTTCCTGCGGGGAGGGACACGCCCACCGCCCTCAGCCACGCCCACCGCCCGGAGACCCCGCCCACCACATCTAAACCCCGCCCACTGCCTCACCTGTGCACTAAGCCCCGCCCACAGCCTCACCTGTGCACTACGCCCCACCCACAGGGTCACCTGGGCTGTTGGCAATACCCCAAAGCCACGCCCACAGGTAATAGACCCCGCCCACCGCACCTAAACCACGCCCACCGCCCAGAGACCCCGCCCATTGCACCCAAACCTTGCCCACAGCCCATAAACCCCGCCCATCGCACCGAAACCCAGCCCACAGCATCAAAACTCCGCCCACCGCCTCACCTGTGCACTAAGCCCCGCCCACAATGTCACCTACATTGCTGCCAATAACCACAAGCCCCGCCCACATTGTATAGGCCACGCCTACTTGGATCCACCCACATCCCAAAGCCCCGCCCACAGCACCAAAACCCCGCCCACAGCGCCTAAACCCCGCCCACGGCACCTAAACCCCGCGTACGGCACCTAAACCCCGCCCACCGCGCCTAAACCCCGCCCACCGCGCCTAAACCCCGCCCACGGCGCCTAAACCCCGCCCACAGCGCCTAAACCCCGCCCACACCCTCACCTGTGCACTAAGCCCCGCCCACAAACACCACACCTGTACCCAAGCCACGCCCACAGCATAATTTAGCCAATAACCACGCCCGTTTCCCACCAGGCTCCGCCCACTTCCACGAAGCCCCTCCCCTATCACATCCTGCCAATCATGTGCCACGCCCATCCAAACCACGCCCATTTCCCCACCCCCCCCGCCCCCTCCCGGCTCCTCCCACCCCAGACCACACCCCCGACCCCCAGACCCCCCCCGTACCCCATTATTTCCCCCATTA